AACAATCTTAAAATTAACTTCTGGGTTCATTGTTCAAAAATATCCTTCAATATGTTCAATGTTAAAATATTTTCCTTCATTCTGTATTACAGGTATTCCTCGTTTAGTGAGTGCCTCAGAGAGTGATTGTTTTCAGTTAATGACGGTGATGAAAAAATAACTTTGTGATCAATCTTCACATTTATGACCTTTGCAGGTCTGTAAAGCAAAGGAAAGCTGAAGTAAGATCATACACAGTCACAATTTCACTTAGCAACCGCTTCACTTAATGATCGGGTTGCTGGTCCCAATAGTGGTTGTTAAATGAAGACTACCTGTAGTAAGTAGTTTGAGTGTAATTGTACAATTGTACAATCCTGTACAATTGTACAATCCTTTAATTGTAATCTTTATTTCCTTCTAATTCCCTCTAGTGTCCAATTTTTAAACTCTTATCTTATTACATTTCTTTTAAGAGTATTCAAAACAAAAGCATTTCCCCATGGGAAGATTCTTTATAATCAATTCCAAAATCTTATTTGACATTTATCTGGACCCTTAGTTTCTTTGTAACTTTCTAAAATCAAAGTTTTAATCACTCTTTTGCTGTTTATTAACAAAAAAAATTTTTTAAGTCCTTAAACTTGCATTTAAAACTTCTTTCACTAAGGACTGAACGAAACTCACCCAGTGCTGTAAAACCTGCCGATCCAAAGTTTCCTACTAGCTGAAAAGCAGTTAACAAGCAATTTCCAAAACTGATTAGAAAAGGAAGTATGTGAACCCAGTAGCCTTTTAAAGGCACCAACTGCAGTTTGAGCAAGATGGCTATTCCTTCATCTCCCAGAGCTCTAAACCCTCCAGAGACTGCTGTCTTGCAATCTCCTTGTGGGGAGCAAAAGTCTGGAGTACTTGTGGGTGATCTCAAGTCCCCTCCTTGTCCAGAGAGGAATTACAAAGAGCCAGTCTACTCACTGGCTCTTCATTCCACTGCAGTCATTGACTCCACGAATTTGCCATTTCTTCCCCGGAACTTGATCTGCTATTCCCTAAAGTCCTCTAACTAGGCCTCAAATCATTAAATTAACCCTTGTATGTAATATCTCAAATTGCCCTTTCTTACAACT